TTTATTTCACACTTAGGTGGTGCTGAGGGCAGAACCCAGGGCCTCGCACGTGCTAGGCAAGCGCTCTACCTCTGAGCCACAACCCTGTCCTCCCCCTCCAAATTTTTTTTAAAAGTCACACTTTGGGAATTGAGTGGAAGCCCCCCAGGAGCCTGCTCAGCTCTAGTCCTTTCTTCTCCTGCCTTGCGGTCACCATGGTTCTGAAGCGGGTGGCTTCTCTGGGGTCCTTGTCTAGCCATTCACCTGCACTTCTGAGTTCCCACGGTGGCTGTGGCGGAGCAGAGCCTGAGCGCCAGGGAGCTCGCAGGGAGCCTGCCTGCAATGGCTGGCCCGCCCGCAGCTGTCCCGTAGGAAGGTGTCTGTGTGTCCCAGGGATGAGGGATACCGACGTGGTCTCTAGATTTTACGTAAACAGGACCGGTCAAGCTGCCCGTGCATTGTTGGAGTCCATTTTATGTTTTGGAGACCGTCCGGCTGCCACGAGAGCCACTTCAGTCATCCTGACTACCTCATGTTCCACTGGGGGACATGCCCGTTTGTCCCTTCTGTCGTTAAACATTTAGGTGTTTCCATTCCTCTCGCAGGCTCTGAGGGGGCGGTGGTGAGCGTCTCTGTGTGTCCCATGCCAGGTGACAGAGGTTCCCTGGGAATGAATGGGGACGGGAGGGGCTGGCAGGCTCCCAGCACACGCAAGATATGGCCACGAGACCCTCCAAAGTGCTCTGAAGGACACTCCTTGATCAGGTGTCCAGTTGAGGGATGACACCAAGGACCAGCCAATACTGATGGGTGGGAGCACAGGGAGAAGGGGAGGCATGGAGGGGCGCAGGGCTGGGGCAGCTCCCGTGGGGAAGCGGTCAGTGGTGCCCAGGACCTAAATCTCCTGGGCAGTGATCATGGCCTCCTCTGCCCAGCAGCTCTGCCCAGCTGCTGTGTGTCCCTGGGTAAGGCACAATCCCTCTCTGGCCTCAGCCTCTTAGCTCTCCATCCAGCTCGGACACAAGGGCCACCGAGATCCACAGCCTTCACTTGCTCGACTGTCCTTGGCAGGTGGCAGTGGCTTCCTGCCCCTGGCCCAGCAGGCAGAGGCCATGCCTTGGCTGGGCTGGCAGGGCTGGCAGCTGGCATGTGGCAGGTGGGCTCTGGTCAGGGGGCTGAGTGGGCAGGGTCCTGGCAGCAAGCTCAGCAGGGGCTGGTGATAGGTGTGAGGGGCTCCCAGGGGGACCAGGAGGGCCTGGGGGCCACAGGCCACCAGCCCAGACTCCTGTACCCGCATGGCCCTGGACCTGCCCTAAGACAACCAGGCTTAGGGGGTTTTTTATTTCTTATTTTTTGGCATCGGGGATTGAACTCAGGGTCGCTCGACCGCTGAGCCCCATCCCCAGCCCTATTTGTGTTTTATTTATTTATTTTTTAAAATGTTGGGTTCCTTGACATTTATCTTTATTTTATTTTTATGTGGTGCTGAGGATTGAACCCAGTGTCTCATGCATGCCAGGCGAGCGCGCTACCACTTGAGCCACAGAGCCACATCCTTAGCCCCTGATTTGTATTTTATTTAGAGATAGGGGCTCACTGAGTTGCTGAGCACCTTGCCTTTGCTGAGGCTGGCTTTGGACTCCCCATCCTCCTGCCTCAGCCTCCCCAGCCTTTGGGATGACAGGCGTGGGCCATGGTGCCTGGCTGCTCTGTGGGTTTTATGTGCTGGTTTTGCGGCAGGGTGGACTCCTGTGTTCCTGTTGTACTGATGAGAGCCTGGAGGGCGGGAGGGCGTGGGGGAGGGTGTGGGGGGAGGGCATCCCAGGGAGTGTTAACGTGGTTCCCATGGTGACATCCAGGGCCTGGGAGCAGGAGCGCAGCGGGCTGGTGTGTGGCTTGTGGTCTGTAGTGTGTGGGCTGCATGTGATCGTGCACGTTAGTGGCACTGGTGTGTGCATCCGTGTCTGTGTGTGCCCACGTGTGTGCACACACCACCTAAACAGCAGAGGCTGGGGAAGAGACCGGCCTGGAAACCCCGGCCCTTTGGTGTTGGTAGTCGCTGTGGGGGATTTTCACGGCTGCGAGCTGTCGAGGACAGGGTGCTTTCCAGCAGCGGGCAGGGGCTGCAGACGTGGGGGCCCCTCAGCCTGAGGGAGGCTCTGGGCACTGGCAGGGATCACAGTCCCCGTTACTGGCAGTGTGACCTTGGTCAGGCTCTCGGGGACCTCTAAGCCCCAGTTTCCACATCTGTAAGTTGGGGATATCGGCACCTGCCCCAGGGGTGGGCAAGGACCCCTTAAGACTCCGCTGCAGAGTGGAGCCAAACATGTGGTGGGTATCAGTCAATGCTGTCCCTGTGGGCCACCTCAGTCCTCTCTGGCTATGGCCAGGAGCAGTTGAGGCTGAGGCCACCACCAGGAGCTTGTATCCCCCAGGATTGTCCCTGGTGAGCCACCCCTTGGTCCCCACTCCCCTGAGCAGCCACGCTGACGTTGGGCTGTGAGCCAAGGGTCTCCCATCCTGGGGACGGCAACGCCCATCTGAACGCCTGTGCTTCAGGTCTCCTGGGTTCCCTTGACCCTACACCCTCTCTCTTCCCCACAGGACGGGCTGAAAGGGGACCCTGGAGCCAGATGGCCTGGGTTCCACCCTGGCTCTGCCCTTGTCTGTCTTCACGACCTTGGGAAGCCCTTCACCCCCTGCCTGTGTTCTCACCTATAAGCTGGACGTGTGGGGCTGGTGCCACCTCAGACCTGAATCCATGGAGAATTGACAGACTGTGTCCCACCTGCCTCGGACGCCTGTCAGCGAGGGGTCTCCCGAGCTCCATGCCAAGGGCCTCCCTCCAGGACCCCCCTCCCCCCCCGGACCCCCCCCCCCCCCGGACCCCCCCCCCCAGGACCCCCCTACCCTCCAGGACCCCCTCCCTCCAGGACCCCCTCGCATCATTGTGAGAACACGGGACCCTCCTCAGACTGCACGCCGTCTCGGCACTTGGGGACCCAGGCACACCCTCCTAGCTGAGCTGCGGTCACCTAACCCTCTCACTAGCAAAACGAAGCACCACCATGTGCCTGGAGGGGCAGGAGGGACTGGCACACGGGGCCTCTGAGGGACCCTCGCCCAGAAACGCAACTTGACCTGACAGTTTCTCCCTGTTTGAGGGCAGTTAACTCCGGTCCCCTGCCCCTCCCTCCCGGAGCCAGGTGGCCGTCCTCCCTCCCCTGCCCCTTCTAGTCCAGCCTCTTCCTCTGTCCATCTGTCTCCCCAGATGGGGGGAGAAATGTCGCGGTTGGCCCACTTTCTAACTGGAAGGAAACCATATGGAGGGGTTAGCTGGAGCCCAGGGCCCGGCTGCCACCATCGCACATGGCCACTCCCCTGGCTTCCTGTGACGGGGTGGAGAGGGGCTCGGTCCTGCCCAAGACCCTGGCACCTTCTCCCCCTGCCCCAGGACCTCCCGGGACCATGCTCTTCTCTGGTGTTTGGGACTTTTTTGGGGTCTAGGAGAGACCAGGGAGCCGTGTGTGTGTGTGTGTGTGTGTGTGTGTGTGTGTGTGAGAGAGAGAGAGAGAGAGAGAGAGAGAGAGAGAGAGAGAGAGAGAGCAATAGCACACACGTGTAGAGCCTGGGGTCCAACAGGAGGCCTGGCTCAGAGCAGCCACCCCCAGGACTCTCTCCTTGGCCGGGTGCTACCACTTCCCTGTGGGGCGGGGGTCAAGGTCCTTGAGCCCAGCCACCTGCACAGAGATGCCGGGGGTGGGGGAGTCTGCAGAGGGCTTAGGTGGAGGCCTGGGGGCGACTGGGCTGGCAGCCGGGGCCCAGCCGCCGTGGGTGGGTGGTTGGGGCATTGGCTGGGCCTGGAGCCAGCCCTGTTTTGAGAGGGACCCAGAGGAGGGAGAGGGGCACCCACTGACTGAGCCCCGACCACAGCACCAGGGCCTCAGCCTTGTTCTCAGAGGTCCCCACCCTGCAGCTCAGTGGGGAGGGTCTGTTCACTCTGGTGCTGTCACCCTCTGACTCCAGCTCTCCCCACCTGTCAGGTGCAGTGTGACACAGGTGTCCACAAGTGCCTCCATACCAGGGGGTCAGGGGGGATTTAAATCCATGAAGGACACCCGCCGTCGGCCACACTTGAGAGGCCCGTCGGAGGCTGGGAACCAGCTGGGTGGGAATTCAAACTGAGGCCAGGCTCCAGCCATGGTCACTACCTCTACCCAGGGCTTGTGGATGGCCTCAGGGACAGGAGCCCAAGAAGGGTGTGGATGTGAGCTTGGGGACACTGATGGCCCAGGTGGCTCTCATTCTCAGTGGATCTTCTAAAACCCCCTCTGAGATGGTTCCAGTAAAAATAACCAATATTTGCTAAGCGCTTCTTGTGTACTAGACGCTAACTGTATTTACATGTATTAGCTCATTTATTTTATAATGATCCAATGAAGTACAGAATCTCATTATCTTCACTTTATAAGTGATGTGTCTCAAATACATCACACAGCTGAGGTCACACAGCAGTAAGTAGTAGAGTGGAGATTTTTCTTCTCTTGGTACTGGAGACTGAACTGAGGGGTACTTTATCACTAAGCTACACCCCCGCCCTTTTTATTATTTTTATTTAACACAGGGTCTCACTAAGTTGCTGAGGCTGGCCTCGAATTTGCAATCCTCCTGTCTCAGCCTCCTGAGTGATGGGGGTTACAAGTGTGCACCGCTGTGCCTCGTCAGAGTTGAGATCTGAACCCAGGTAGTCTGGTTCCTAAGAGTGACGTTGGCCGCCTCTTGCACTTGCTTCTAACTGCTGGGTAGGGAAACTGAGGCCAGCTGTTGAGTGGAGCCAATTCTGCTCTGTGGCTGTTCTGATTGAACGGCTTGTGTCCAGAGGCTGGGACCTGGGGGCTGAGAGTCAGGCTGGGGACCTTGGGCAGCCCTCAGCCCCCGTCTCCTGGGGGTGTGTGTGAAGGGGACCATGGGGGGACTCGGGATCCCCCACCCACCCAGGCTAACCACAGACTGTCCTGCAGGGGGCGTGTGCATCGCCCAGTCGGTGAAGATACCACGGGAGCCCAAGACAGGAGAGTTTGACAAGATCATCCGGCGGCTCCTGGAGACCTCAAACGCCAGGGCCGTCATCATCTTTGCCAACGAAGATGACATCAGGTGGGTGTGGGTGGCAGTGGGGTGGGCACGGGATTCACAGAGGTGGGAATGGGCAGGTGGGTATCAGAGTGGGGAGAGCTTTCGGGCGGGGGCCTAGGCTACTGATAACGGCCATGCTCCACGCCCCGTTCCCACATCCACTCTGCCTGCCAGGGAGGGCAAGCAGGACGCTTCAGTGAAGGGCTGGAGGCTATGGCTTGGGGCCAGACTACCTTGATTCTCATCCTGCCTACTAGCTGTGTGACCCCACGTGAATTCTTAACCTCTCTGGGCCATTTTGCTGCTAAAAATGTGACCTCATGATGCCTGCCTGCTGGTGTTCCAGAGTAGAATGCAGGAATGTGCGTAAAGGGCTTACGGTAGGCCTGGCATGAAGGGGGTGCCAGGACACATTGGCCACCTCACCGTCCCTCCCTCCTTTCCTTGGAGCTCAGGACAGGGAAGAGTCTGGGCAAGGGTTCTAGGGCTGACTGGCTTGGGCACATAATCACTGTGGGCAGGATGGTCCCCTCCGCAGGCCTCTGTCTCTGTGTCTGCAGACTGGGGGCAGGGGGCTGTGGGTGCCTGGACATACAGGGCAGAGACCCTGGGCCTGTCCCTCTCTTCGGGCTCTCCGCTGGGTAGGGATGGCCTTAATGGATGACCTCTGGCCACCCGTCCCGTCCCAACCTTCTCTGCCTCTTGGTTTTTCTTTGTCCCTCCTCGCTGAGCCTGGTGGCCAGGTCAGGTGGGGTCAGGCCCCAGAAATACCCTGTTTGCGGGGAGACACAGCTTCTGCACTCACTGCCCAAGGCTGCTTGGGCCCATGGGCAGACCTGGGGCCCTTTTCTTTTGGCTGTGCTTGGGGTGGAGCCCAGGGCCTCCTGCCTGCCAGCCTATGTGCCACCCCTGAGCCACACCCCAGCCCTGGGACATTTTCCTTTCAAACCCTTTTTGTCACTTAGTGAAGACCCCGTTCTGGACTCCTGAGTTCCCATGACACAGAAAATCCCCAGGGACATTTCCAGGTCGGGGAGGATGGATAGAGGGAGTTCTAGAAGGTCACTGAGGCCTCAAGAGCCAAAGGACCACCTCTGATGGGGGATCTCAGGCAGGGGAAGGGGGTTGTCCTCAGGGCCCCGTTCTGACAGCCTCCAAGGTTCACAGAGGTGGCGTCTGAGGGGAACAGGTCCCTAACTTCTGGCTCTGGATGTTACTGATGCTCCCAGCCTTGCCTGAAGCAAGGGGACCCCTTCTGAGCCACTGGTCCCTGTCCCTGCTGCCACCACTCCCCAAAGCCAGCGGCTTCCTATACCCCACTCGGCCATGCACCCTGCTCCAGGCCGCCTGATTTTGGGGACACCTTCAGCTCAGCTGACCGCATGCTGGGAGGGAGGATGAGGCTCAGTCCTTTGTCCTAGAGAAGAGGCCCCAAAGGGAGGGACCCGAAGGGACTTAGATTGGCTCCAGAGCCGGCTGTGGGCATGTGGTGGGAGGCAGGTCATTTCTGGAAACCCACATGCATTTCCAGAAGCAAACAGAAGTAAAAATAAACCCAGGTGGCTTTGCAGGGACGGAGGGCTGAGAGCTCTGGTCACGTGGGCTAGCGGATGCAGGTGGTATTAACAGGCTGTGGGCAGCCTGGGTGGGGGGCTGCCTGCGAGGACCTGGAAGGTCAGGAGTAGGGAGGTGACGGTGAGGATGGGCCACAAGGCCAGCTCCGTGCTGCCTCTGGGGCCTGCAGGGATTTCTTTCTGGAAGCCCCAGGGGCTCCTGCTCAGCCGCACAGGCCCTGGAGTCCGGGCCTGGTCCTCCCCGGGCACAAGGGTGGGCAGTTACTCACCTCCTCTCTGCCCCAGACCCTCCCCCATGGGGGAGCTGCCCACTCCTCTCTGGTTTTCTCCTCCCAGAGTCCTTTGCAGGGGCCACTTAATTCCTGCATCCAGTGAGCACCCGTGGACCACTGTGGGCTCCTTGGTGCTGTGCTAGGCTCGGTCCCTGTTTAAGACCACTGTCCATGGCTGGGCGCGGTGGTACACGCCTGTAATCCCAGCAGCTAGGGAAGCTGATTCAGAAGGATCATGAGTTCAAAGCCAGCCTCAGCAATGGCGAGGCCCTAAGCAACTCAGTGAGACCCTGTCTCTAAATAAAATACAAAATAGGGCTGGGGATGTGGCTCAGTGGTCAAGTGCCCCTGAGTTCAATCCCTGATACCCCTCGCTCCCCCAAAAAAGACCTCTGTCCTTGAGGATGGGGTAGGGGGTGAGTACCAGGCAGCCTTCCCCCCATCCACCTGGGCAGGGTGAGGGGAACAGCTCTTTGAGGGACCTGGACTTTGGGCACAGAAGATGGAGGATGGAGAGGGCACTGTGTGCAGAGGGGTGAGGAGGGGGTAGTGGCGGGGTAGCCGTGTGACAATGGTATGATGTAAGGAGGGGCTAAGGAGCATGGGGTGGCATCCAGCCAGGAAGGCACGAGTGCGAGGGGACAGGGGCTGGCAGATGTAGTTCTGGAACTGAGTCAGACAGGGGCAGATGTGGGTCTGGGGAGACAGATGTGGGTTTGGGCACAGGCCTGGGCCAGGGGACCTAGCGGCAGGTGTGGGCCAGGGCTGGGGGCTCCATGGGTACATCAGAGGGCTCAGGGGGCATCGGCGGGTGTCCAGGCATAGCCTGGGGGAGAGCCTGGGCTGTGGGAGAGCATGGTGTGGGCTGTGGCCGTGGTGGGGCGGCTGTGGGGCCAGACACGGGGGCCGGGCCGGCGTGTGCTCTGCAGGCGCGTGCTGGAGGCGGCGCGGAAGGCCAACCAGACAGGTCACTTCTTCTGGATGGGCTCTGACAGCTGGGGCTCCAAGATTGCACCTGTGCTGCACCTGGAGGAGGTGGCCGAGGGAGCCGTCACCATCCTCCCCAAGAGGATGTCCGTGCGAGGTAGGCATGGCGCTGGCCTTCCCACTGCCCGTCACCCCACACTGCTCCTGTCGTCCTCCTCTCCTTCCGTCCTCTCTGCCCCATCTTCCCTCCTCTGGCCTTGGCCCGCAGCCTCCTGTGTACAGTGGCGCTGGGCTGAGGAGCCTCGTAGGCCTCGCTCAGCACAGCCGAATTCAAGTGCAGCTTCAGGACCTTTCTTCATCTTTTCTCAGATACTTCTGGGTGTGGGAGGCGTGTGGCACGCTCAGGAGGCTCCTCTGCGAAGGTTCTCCTCCCCCCACATGGTTCCACCCTTCTCCCATCTGGGAGAGTCCTCTGCCAGCAGGGTGGGGAGCTGCCAGCAGGCGGGGAGACGGGGTGCCTCCAGAGCCTGCCGAGGCTGGCAGGCCTCCGATGGCCTTGGGCTGGGCCTGCCCTGCATCCCCTCCTTTCAGGGCAAAACCCACAGTCACCTTGGATAGGGACAAACTGCTCTGGCAGAGCCTTGCAGGGTGCTAGGCATGAAGTTTCCATTAATGGCCTGATTTGGCAGGGACCTTGCGGTCTCGCCACGGGGGAGGCGGGCTCCTGGCCTCCTCCTTTGCTGCCCTCTCTCTGTTCATTGGAACCCAGCGTTGATGGAGCGCACGCACATCTGCCTCTCCGTCAAACTTTCCAAGAGACTGAGGCCGAAGGAGGGGACAAGCTCAAGGTCATGCAGCAGTGTCCTCTCTTCACCCTGAGGCACAGCACGCACAGGCAGCGGAAGTTTCCAACCACCCCTCTCGGTCCCAAACCTTAATAAGCACAAAATGACAACAGCCCTGGCTTCCTGGTGCCCTCAAATGCTAGTTGCCTTTCAGATACCACATGGAGTGTTCCCAGACTCTGTGATGCCCCCCTACCCACACTCCTGGAGGAATATACCAATGCTCAGAGACACTGGCACCTTTGGCAGTGAGTGGCAGAGTAGATATTTGAACACAGGACTTGCTTAGGAAGTACCTTTTGTCTCTGGGACATTAGAGAAGCTTTTAGAACAGTGGTTCTCATCTGGGGGTGATTTTTGCCCCCAGGGGAAGTTTGGCAATGCCTTTGGTTGCCACAGTTAGGGGGTGATGCTTCTGGCATCGAGTGGGTAGAGGGTTGGGATGCTGTTCAACATCCTACACTGCATAGGAGAGTCCCCCACAACCTGACCCAATGTGTCACAGGGCAAAGGCAGAGCAGCCTTGGGGTAGGCCAAGCGTCACCATCCCTCAGGGGTTTTTCTCCTGCAGCTCTTGATAGTCACTGAGCTTCTGTCTGGACCTTTCCATGGACAGGGTTCTCAGCACTTAATGTGGGTGCCACTGAGCTTTCAGATGTTCTGGCCTGTCCCCAGCAGTTAGCCACCTGGGGACAGGGGAGTCAGTGCTGCAGAGGCATCTCGGAGGAGGGAGAGGGCACCACTCATCAGCAGCATCCTGCTTGGGCTGGAGCAGGGCTGTGAGTCTAGCAGAGCACGAGAAGAGAAGGCTGTATCTGCCACCAGTGGGGACATTCTGGACTTGAAGGGGAAGATCCAGGTCCTGGCCTTGCAGTGTGCCCTGGGTGAACCCCCTTCTCTGGCCAGGGCTCCTCACCAGCCTCTCAGCCTTCATCTCGGGACCCCCGGGCCGCTCTTTCTCCCAGAAGCCTGCTGTTAGCATTTGGGTGGCTTCAGGCTGCAGGAACGTCCCCGTCAGCGTGCTTCGCGCCCATTAAAGCAGCAGCGTAGATTACACATGCTCCCCCTGGGACTTAATCCAGCTCTTTTCATTTTGAATGAAATGAAATGTTCCCAGTTTTGTTTTTGCCGGCTGGCCCTGGATCAGAGGGTGTACGCTTCGCTCCCTCTCTTGGCCTGGGCCACCTCTGAGCCAGGGGCCCAGGGGACAGCAGGGTTGAGACCCTGACGCCGGGTTCCTCCCCAGGCTTCGACCGCTACTTCTCCAGCCGCACGCTGGACAACAACCGGCGCAACATCTGGTTTGCGGAGTTCTGGGAGGACAACTTCCACTGCAAGCTGAGCCGCCACGCGCTCAAGAAGGGCAGCCACGTCAAGAAGTGCACCAGTGAGCACGTGCCTGGGGCGAGGCCTGGTGGGCGGGGCCTGGTGGGCGGGGCCTGTGGGGGCGGGGTCTGCTGGGCGGGGCCAGGGACAGGGCCCTGAGCTGGCGGAGTTGCAGGGGGGAAGCCTGGCAGGGAGGAGTCCAGGGAGTCCAAGAGCTGGGCAGGAGGCGGCAGGTGTGGAGATGAAGGGGAACCTGGGGGAGGAGTTGGGAGTCCATGGGCGGGGCCTGGGGGTGGAGCCACAGCCAGTTGGGGGCGCTGTGGAGGGCCTAGGTTACTGTGTCCTCTCCGGAGACAGTTAGAGGGGCTCCTCAGTCTCTGCAGGGGCACCCTCCAGCGTGTGCTTTGGGTTTCATCTGCATATCCCTAGCCCCAGTCCAGTGGGACTGAAGTGACCCCACCCGCCCTGTGTCCAGTCTTGGCACGCAGTGGTCTGGACGCTATAGAAACCACTCTAACCCCTTGGGTTTCTCTCAGTCACTCAACAAACACCAGCTTGACTCCCAGGACACCCTGCCCCGGCGCTGAGCATAGTGGATCTAGTAATGAACGGAAGAGTCAAAATTCTCTTGGAATTTTTATTCTAATGAAGAAGCAGATGATAAACAAGATAAATAAGTGATAGACTATGTCCGAAGGGAAATGTGCAGGAGAAACGAAACGGATAGGAAAAAGAATGGGCAGGCTGTACGGGGAGGGGAACTGCAACCGTCAGGCGGCCTGGGAAGCCCTCTCTGCAAAGCAGACGTCTGAGGTTGAAAAGAAGAAAGAACTGTACCCGGTGGAGGGGCAGTGACTGGTCATTTTTCAGGTGGGAAGAGGGAGACCCAGATGAGGTGAGTAAAGGGACCTGAATTCCCACAGATGGGAGTTGGTGAAGCGGGATTTGAACCCGGGTCTGAGCTCTTGGCCTTCAGCACTTAAGGTAGCAAGATTATTCACCATGGATGTGTTTGGATGTGGCTGAGGGTGGGCTCTGGGTCTGGGCAGCTCTGCAGCAGGACCCCTCAGTGACATGAGAGGGGAACTCTGGGTGCCTCCCAACCTGAGTGGTACCTAAGTGAGGGTGAGGAGCTCTGTCCTCTGTCCTTCCACTCTGCCCACGCAGTGTAGGCAGAGGCTCAGGGGGGCCAGGGCCAGGCTTCCTGGAATCATTGACAGATGCTGGTCCACCAGGGCCAGGGGAGGAGGGAGCCAGGTGAGGTGGGGGGTAGTCAGTGGAGGGTGTGCTGTCCTGTGCTGGCTCATAGCCACTGGAGGTGGGGGGGGATCCCCTGGAGACCCAGGCAAGCTCACAGCCCAAATCACTTTGTCTGTCTAGAGCCACATGGTCACAGAGGCTGAGCCCTCAGGCCAGTGTGACCACATACCCAGGTTCACTCCTGTTTGGTGTAATTACGGAGAACATCCTCTTTTATTTTCAAAGTGCTCCCAGTGAAGTGAAAAACTGTCCAGACCCCTGACCCTAGGGATGGGAATGGCATGGTGAGCCTGGCACGGGGGGCAAGATTGGCAACTGGGCCTCCCAGCCCCAGCGCCTAGGCCGTCCAGGGCCAGGCAATGTCTGAAGTCCCCTTACTGTGTGTGGGGGACGGAGGGGAGAAGGCCCCTGTGCAGACCTGGGTGGGGACTTGGAACCCTTTTAGCAGCCCTGAAGGGAGGCGCCGCTCCGCCTGTCAGAGCAGGTAGGAGAGGGGGACCTGAGCTGGGTTCTGAAGAGGGCAGCTTTGTCCCGAGCCTCCAGCAAGCCCGGTGACCCTCTTGAGCCTTTGTTTGCTCATCTGAGAAACGGGGTGGATGGTGAGCCAGCCCAGGGGGTGTCTCTGCAAGGAAGGGATCATTAATGGAGGTACTTGCTGAACTGTAAAATGGTAGCTCTCAAGCCTGGCTGTGCCTGGAGAGCTTTTAAAACTATTACCCCCCAACCCCCCGTCCCCTGCCACCTGGCCAACTGAGCCAGGACCTCAGGGGCTGTGGATATTTTCTCTGTTCAGCTCTCCGGGTGATTTTGATATTTTAATATGTACCTAGGGATGGAGCAGGGGTCCCTAAGCTTTTCCTACATTGCATCAAGGGGGGACCTTTTAAAAACACGGATACCTGACTTCTACCCCTGAACAATCTGAATTAATTTGTTCTGGGTACATCTGAACAGCAGGATTTTTTTTTTTTTTAAAGAACCCCAGGTGGTTCTACTGTGCAGAAAACTGGGGATTCTCTGACTCAGAGAGACCTGAGTGGTGGGAGGGAAGGCAGCAGTCACCCAGAGGACGGCAGGCACCCCAGGCTCCAGAGGGTGCAGCACAGGGGTGGAGGGAGACTCGGTGGACATGAGGGGGATGGGGGACAGCACCTTGCCGCTGACCTGAATCTTCTCGCTGCCTGTGGAACTCCACAGAGGCTGGTCCAGGTTCTTGAGTGGCCCACATTGGACACAGTGAGCCTGCCCATCTCTGGGGGAAGCGAGGGCCAGGGAGCCACTGGGAATGTGTGTGGGACCTGGGACACTGAGATCTGGTGCTGGTGCCCTATGTCCTGCCCAGGGGTGAGCGGGAAGAGGAGGACAGCAGGACCCCAGTGCTGGTTTGGGCACATGGGAGGAGGGGCAAGGGAAGGACCCAATCCTGAGTCTAGATCCAGCCCTGTCTTCTCCCTGCTGTGTGACCTTGGGCAAGTTATTGAACTTCTCTGTGTCCCAGATGCTCGTCTGTAGAACAGGGATGTCACCTCCCATCTCCGGGGGTGGTTGTGAGGATTCAGCCTATAACGAGGCTGTCTGGAAAGGGCTGTGCTGATGGAGGGTTGTCCCTGTCGACAGGAAGGAGGAGCCGTGGGATCTAGACAGGCACTCGGGTCATGTACTAGCCTGTGTTGTACCAAGTCTGTCTGTCTGCTCTCGTATCCTGGAGGAGGGACTGTGCCACCCGAGGGGCAGTGTGACAGTTATAGGAGTGGCACCCATTTTATAGAAGAGAAAATGGAGGCAAATTGTGAACGTCACTTGCTAGAAAGCTGGCGGGGCCGACTCACAGGCAGGCCGATTCCCGGCCCTGTCTCCCTCCCTGGTCCCTCCTGATCCCTGTCGGCCTCCCTCTGCCCCCTCCCCCCAGCTGTGGCCGGGAGCCCCTGACTCCCGGGTTCCCCAGTGCCCCACAGTCCACAGCCTGCCTCTGCCGGCCTCAGTCCCAGACCCAGCAGGTGCCATTCCTGTGTTTGTCCCCTGCTTTGCCAAATCCATTCCTCCTCAACTCTGTCAGCAAACGGGCCTGGTGACCTTCGGAGAGGATGGGAAGGACCGTCTCGTCCCGGGGCTAACACTCGGGAAGATTCCATCCATCCTGCAGGGCTGTCTAAAGTCGGCTTCCCCTGGGACGAGGCTTCGAGGGGAAGCCATTTATTTGGGAAGGGCTCCCAGGAGCGAGGAGAGGAGGAAGCAGCAACTGTGACATTGAGCAGGTTACCGCCGGGACACCTGGCGCTTATCCCCTGGGGACGGTGGACAGAGGCGCGAGCATCCCATCCTACCTTGAGTGTGGGAGCTGGGCTGTGTGAGCAGCTGCCCGTCACTGGGCGGTCACTGGGTGGTGGTCCCAGGACCTCAGCCTGCCCCATGGCCGTGTGAACCGGCTGCTGGCCCAGAGAGCCTTGGGACAGGGCAGGTGCCGCGGCCTGGGGACTGCGCAGCCCTGGCTGTGCATCCTGGTGCTGCCACCTACTAGCTGGGTAGCCTCGGGCAGGTGACCTCCATTGCCTCATCTGTAACAGGAATCTGTCCCCCCTGCCCAGCACCTCCAGGGCCGTCCCGCAGGGCACACCCTTCCCCACGGCTTCCCAGAGGCGGGCTCTGCTCTGGGGCGCTCACCCCTGGGCCCACGCGGGTTGGGGTCACCGTGAGGGGCCTCTGCAGCTGCGGAGCCCAGAGCCCGTGGGGGAGCCGCCCGCTGCCCCTCCTCCCAGCCCCTCCCTGGGAGCCCAGAGCAGGGTTGGGGAATTAAAGCCATAAACAAGGCAGATGTGGCATCCGTCTTTTTGACAGCCCTGCCAGCCAGGTGATGGCTGCGCGGAGGAGGCACGGTTTACGAGGAGACAGGGAAAATCTACTGCCTGCTGCTCCCGGGGCGGGGAGCTGGGGGGCGACGGCGCAGGATGGCTGGGGATGTGTGGGGGACGCCAATCACCCCGCCTGTGCCAACAGCCACAATAACAACAGTAATAAAAATGGAAGAATAATAACAGCGAGTATTCACATAGCACCGTTAATTGAAGAGTGCAAGTTGTGCCTAATTCTAGGGTTTGGCCTTTTATCTTTACAAAAACCCGTTTCACAGACAAGTAAACTAAGGCCCCAAGAGGTTAAGGACTTGCCCCAGGTAGTAAGAAGCAGAGCTGGGATTTGAACTCCAGAGCCATCTGGCTCCAGAGATGTCCTGCCTCAGGCCAGCTGATGTCCCAGCCCCAGGTCACCCCAGACTCTTTTGCAGAATCTTCCCAGCTCCACATCCCCAGAGGAACCAAGGGAGCCTCCCTCCTGGGGACAGGAAGGGACCTGTATTTGGGAGCACCCACTGTGCACCTGCTGTGAACCATGAGAAGAACCGGCTGTCACTCAGACCTTCAGCTGCAGGATGGTGACAGGATCCTGGCCCTGCCCCTCAATGCTCCTCTCACTTGTTCAGCCAGGAGACCAACCAGCACCGATTAAGAGGCTGACTATGTGCCCAGCCTATGGCTTGGTCAAGGGGACAGACCTGCTTTGGAGAGTCCCCCAAGCCCTGCAAATGGCAGATAATCTGGCCTTGCAGACAAGGTGGCAGAGGGTGGGGTGGCCTGGCAGTCAGTGTCATGGCCTATCCATGAGGCCAGAGGAGGACCCAGGACTCCTGGAGGAAAACAGAGTGCTGAGGCCGGGGATGTTGCCTCTTAAGTCAGGAGGTGTCACCGAGGAGGCAAACCTTCAAAGACAAGGAGGCAGAGGAAGAATGAGATGTGGGAATCTAGGAGA